TACTTATCCCCATAGATACTTAGGCATCATAATACTTCTCCGTAGATACTTCTAGAATATGTAGAATGTCGGGATTAGACTCGTTTATACGAACCAAGTCTAGAGCCCAAGCATTGGAAGTGATGACGCCATGAATCGCTGCTCCAATGCGATTTCCTAGGGCCATATAATCTCTAGAACTAGGGTCCAATGCCAATAGATCACATATAGAGTGATTATCGTCGATCTTATAGAATATACAGGGTAGTAGACTGTTCTTGATCATAGCCGACATGCGTAGACAGGAGTAGAATAAGGTATCCCCTAGAGGCCTAACTCGTATGGTGGCTGTAGACATAGGATGCCTCTTGAGTAGAGGCTCCGACATAATAGATTCTAAGTCACGATAGACGAACCCGAGTAGACCAACCACAGCGGTTAAGCGCAGAAACTCGGCAATCGTAGATATAGAATTGTCAGCCTCCTGCTCGTAGACAACGTCAGTGTAGTTGGCTAGATCAGTATATTTAGATAGATCTACTTGAGTTGGATCTAGATAACCACTGCCGATGAACTGTCTTAGATGATAGGGGATAGATAACCATAGAACCTTATTGACCGATAGACTGTCCATAAGTTCAACTTCAAATAGAGCCGTCTCATAGTCGTTATAGATCTTAGGTGAAATTACAGGTAGGTAAGGTAGATGATGTAGCGATAGTTCTCTCAACCCAGGACCTCCTTGAACTGCACATAGACGTCTGAAGAGTAGACTTCCTACGCTTAGAAAACTGTCATCAGCCTTGTAGACCTTCAGGTCGGGTAAGGAATCGACATTGAAAGCTAGAGTTTTGGGATTCTTATCCCAGACCTTAACTCTAGTTTCAGTTAGAACCTTATCCTCAGCATCCCTTAGGGGATAATAGAGATCCTTCTGTAGGGTAGACATGATAGAGTTGACGCCTAGAACTATAGAGACTAAAAGAGACTTTAGACACAGTGGATCTTGGATCACAGCATATTTATCCAATGAACGGAGTGGTGGACAAATAACTAAAAATAGATCGTAATGGCGAGCGAAATGTACAAGCATACCATGGACGGGTATTGTGTCATAAA